AAGAAAAGAAACATGAGTTGGATGTAGATGATTGCCCAAAAAAAGACCTGCTTTGGCTCTGGCCAGCTCTTTGATTTACAAAGCCAAGGACTTTTGGGGAGGGTGATAAATAAAAATGACAGATGAGCTGTGGCACAAGAAAAAGGAATCACAAGCTTGGGTCGTATTTATTAATCGTATTGAACATACAGGCTTGCTCCACAGTCTTCTTGCTTGTATATATCTGTTCCTCATTGATAAAACAGGGACAACACCAGTCACAATTTACTAGGACTGTGGAAAGAATATGAGCTTTGGAGTCAAACGTGAGTTTAAATTTGTTTCTGCCATGTATTAGCTGAGTTACATTAGGCAGGTTATATTGATTCTATGAGCTTCAATTTCCTCTCCTACAAAGTGAGAATATTAATACCTATTACTCAGAGTTATTGACAGGCTTGAATAAGATAAGAAATGTGTCTTTCTTTTTAAAAATTTTTTTGGCTATTTAAGTTTTTATTTTAATTCCAGTTAGTTAATGTACAGTGTTATGTGAATTTCAGATGTACAATGTAGTAAGGCAGTGTGCCTGTATTCTTGATAAATAATAGTTGTTGTTATTACTGCCTGTCAGAATATAAGCTCCACAGAGGCTACACCTTTTTATATTGTATATTGATGTATTCCCAACAATTAGAACAATGCCTGCCACATGGAAGTGCTCAATAAATATTTTTTAAATGTTGAGTGAGTCATTACTAAGACCTCTTTCAGCTCTTCCTTTTATAATTATATGAGTCTACACAAGAAAAACTTGGCAAAATTCTTTAAAGAGTAGATGTTCTTTGTATTAATACTAGATACCTTTGTCTAAAGAGCCCTTTTTCTTCCTACAGAGATATTGTCATTTCCAGAAATACACAAGAAACTTGTAATACTTAGCTATATAAGGTCTTGTCTCCCTAACCAGACTATAAGTTCTTGGAAGACAAGGAATCTTTCTTTCTTTCTTTCTTTCTTTCTTTCTTTCTTTCTTTCTTTCTTTCTTTCTTTCTTTCTAAAACCCTACCCCCAATGTGGGGCTTGAACTCATGACCCCAAGATCAAGAGTCACATGCTCTACCAACTGAGCCAGCCAGATGCTATGGACATGTTTCTTCTTTACTTTTTGGTCATCATACTACTTAGTACATATTACTTATCTGATTCTTCCACCAAACTTGTGAGCTAACACATTGACAGATCACAGTGGGTACCTACCAAGTTTTCACTAAAACAAGAACCCAAAAGAAGAAGGTTTGGTCATGAGTCCCCATATCCCACATAGAATCAATCCACTGGGGATGAGGAGTCAATTATGTTGGGAACCTTCCTAAAGCATCCTCTGCCTCTACATATACCACTTTATGAGGCCCTGAATGCCTCCCAGGTTGTATTGTGTAGACGAGAGAGTTAGCCTAGAGAATAAATATGATGATTCTAATGATGTTTATTATTTCAATTAAAGCCTATTCAGGAGATTCTTGAGTGTCTTCTATGTGCCAGGTACTGTGCTAGGTACTAGTAAGAATGTGGGAGAAGATGCAGAAAGAAGTAACACATGAATGGCCTAGTTCTTTTTTTTTTTTAATTTCTTTTAATTTATTTATGATAGTCACACAGAATGAGAGAGAGAGTCAGAGACATAGGCAGAGGGAGAAGCAGGCTCCATGCACCGGGAGCCCGATGTGGGATTCGATCCTGGGTCTCCAGGATCGCGCCCTGGGCCAAAGGCAGGCGCTAAACCGCTGCGCTATCCAGGGATCCCGAATGGCCTAGTTCTAAGAAGCAAATGATCCAGCAGTTTCTGGTTCATAGAAACAATCATATGCACAATAGCTATAATAATAACTATAGTTTACATTATTAAAACTATCACAGGCACTATTTTATTATTTTTTTACAGGCAATATTTTAAAGGCTTTACACGCATGATCTAACTTTATCCTCATAATAACTGAGAGTTAAATATTCTCATTATCCCCATCAAACAGAGGAGGAAACTGAGGCATAGAGAGGTTAAAGAATTTGCCCCAGATCACAGAGCTGTGAAAGTAGACTCGACATTCAAACATGGGCAGGCTGACTCCAACATCTGTGCTCCTTTTCCTATTAATAGGAAAATAATTTGAAAACAAAGATTAGTTTCTCTCCTACTCTGGTTTCCCTTGTTTTTGTTTGTTTTGTTTTGTTTCTCCTGCTCTGGTTTCCTTTTTTTTTCTTTTTAAAGATTTTATTTATTCACGAGAGACACACAGAGGCAGAGACATAGACAGAGGGAGAAGCAGGCTTCCCGCATGGAGCCTGATGTGGGACTTGATCCTGGAACCCTGAGATCACGCCCTGAGCTGAAGGCAGATGTTCAACCATTGAGCCACGTAGGCGTCCCTCTGATTTCCTTTTTTAAAAAAATATTTATTTTTTAAAAGATTCTTTATTTTTGAACAATCTCCACACCCAGTGTGAGGCTGGAACCCACAACTCTGAGGTCAGGACTCATATGCTCTATCGACTGAGCCAGCCAGGTGCCCCTACTCTGGTTTCCTTTGAATCGGGAAACATTATCTCCTCTTTTCTCACCCTTTGTGGCTAAATTAACAGTTATATCCATTTTTCTGAAAGGGAGTTTGAGATATTTACTCTGCTCTCTCACAGCATTGTACCGCTGGAAGTTTCCTTTTTTGGCGTTTAAGAGAATCCCTTCAGTTGTCTCAGATGTGTCAGGGTCGCTGAAAGGATGAGAAGAATTAGGTGTTCTGGGATGGATTTGGAGGTGGAAAGTCAAGAAGGCATTCTCAGAGCTGGGAGCTGGGAGCCAGGAGAGCTTGGCTTTATTCAGCACCGTGGACAGGGCTCCCGCCTCTCTCAGGACCCTGGACAGAGAGGCTGGTCACGCCTGCCGAGGGAGCAACTCTCATTTGTGTGCGGACCAAGCGAAACCAAACCGCTAAACTTTTTCCCTCCTTTCACCCAGACCTCAGTCACCTGTTCTTTAATCTTAAGAACAGAGATACAGGAAGTGCATTATATTTTAAAGGCGCTAGTAACGAGGGGAGATAAGACTCTGAGACGGGTAGGATTATATAAATAAAAATGGCTTTGGCTGATGTACTTGGAAGAACTAAATTAAGGTTCTCAGTCGGGAGTGGGGCATTGCTAATGATTTTTGTTAATGATATGTATTTTTTAGGCTGAGTAGCTGCACGGTTGTCCTCTTTATCACCCAATATCCTATCCGCCATCGCTTACACTCAAGTTTTAGTCTCTTGAACATTCCATGTAGGAAAGAGAGAAAAAAGTAATCTCCACAGCCCCTTGCTCTTCTTTCTCTTCCCTACCCCCACTCATTCCTTTTCTCTTTTTTTCAAATACACATGTGGGCTCGCGCGCGCACATACACACGCACACACACACACACACACGGGCTCAGGATGAGAAACGCGAGAGGTTCTGCACACTAGGTGGAGGAGACTGAATTCGGAGCAAGCGGATGCCCCCGAAAGCAGGCTCTGTCTCTTTAAATGGGTTGTAGCAGTGGGGGAGGGGAACTGGCCGGAGCTGGCATTGTCCAGTTTGAACTGAGCACCGGAAGTGAAGGGGCAGGGCCAGGGCCGTGCACTGAGCCCCCGGCCATTGTCCATCTCCGACCAGGGCACTAGCCACCCCCTTGACCAACCCCTCTTTATCTCTTAGAAGGGGAGGTTACCTCTTCAAGTAAGAAGATCCTCTACTCCAGTTCCCCCACCAACCTCACTCCTTGGGGAGGGAAGCTCACTAAGGATGGGACTCTGAAGGGAGGTGGGTCTGGGAACCCAAGTGTCCCGAGTGTTGGAAGAAATGCCTCCACCCACCTATCCAACTTCGTCCCTCTCCCTGCAACGGATAGGGACGCGACTGGGATAGGGACAGGATGAGGACAGCTGGAGGAGAGGAACACACTTCAAACCTCTTTGGGTTCCTCCTGCTCTCCCGGGAAGCACCACGTGGAGGCAATTTTAGACACAGATTTGGAAGGAAAGATGGGAGGATTTTTTTTTTTTTCTTTTTAAACTCAGATTGAGTTGGGAGCACTTTGAGAGATCTAGAAAAACTGTCGGAAACTCAGGGAGGCAGAGACACTCAGTCAGAGACATCCCCTTGAGAAGCAGCGCCCTGGGTCAGGACTGGAGACCAGCCCTGCTGGGTCTCCAGCCTCCCCCCTGCTTCCCCATCCCAGGCTTCCTAATGTCCTGAACTCCAGGTCTATCTAAGCACACGGGGGTGGGGGGTGAGAGCGGGTCAGCGCCAAGCAGCCGGGTCAGCTCGGAGGCCTGAAGGGGAAGGGAGGGGGAGGGGCGCTCAGGAGCTGGGGGAGGGGGAGGGCTCATCCATTTCTCCCTTGACAGGTGGTTTGAGTCTCTGATTGGCCAGCGCTGCCAGGCTCACACCTCCCTCCCCCAACTCTCTGGAATGTATAATTATCTGCGCGGGGGGTGGGGGTGGTGTGTGAGTGTGTGTGGGAGCAGTCACATGGTTTTAAAACTACCCCCCCACGAGCCCCCCACCTGTATGCTGCTTTGGGGGCCCCCACTAAGTCGTTAAAGTACAGGATCCCAAATTCCGGGGTACTCAAGACTTCTAGGGCTGACGACCCCCATCTCCAGATGTGTGTGTGGAGAGGGGGTGTCAAACCTCAAGGTTCTGAGAAGGGACACCCCAGAGGTGTCAGAGACCACAGCGATGGGGGAGGGCCGGAGCTGGAGCCAGAGGGAAAGGGAGGGGAGAGAAGAGGAGGGAGGGGAGGGGAGGGGGCTGCCCGCGGGGGGTTGGGTCATTGTCTTTTAGAATTTGGGAGCCTTTGAAAAGCCGTGGGCCCTCCCACCGCTATTGTGCTGGGGAAGATGTAGCAGCCTCTTCTCTGAGCCACCCCTTTGCCTCCGGACTTCTCTGGGGCCAGCAGCCACCCGACCAGGGGCCCGGGGCCGCGGGCTCAGTCGACTACCATGGGCTCTGTGTCAAACCAGCAGTTTGCAGGTTCGAGCTCGGGACTTACTGGGGACACCTTAGGCTTCAGGGGCGCCCAGGAGCCACATAAAAGGGAGGTGGGGAAATGTCCTCCAGACTGACCGAAGGACCTTAAGTCTGTGCGGCCTCCTGCTTCAGGGGCCATTTCTGGACCAAGGAACCCTGGTGTCCCAGTGGCGTGCACGCCGAGGCTACGGGGGCGGGGGGAGAGAAGAGGAGGGGCCTGTCCCGCCATCTATCCCTGGGCAACGTGTTGTGGGAAGAGGAGCAAAACTTTTGGGGCAACGCTGGCTTGGGTGTAAGCTTGGGGTGCGCGGGAGGCGGCCAGGACAGGTCTCTCCTCGCCAGCTGCTTGGTAGCTGCAGCCACCTGGGTGCCCACCCGCGGGGTGGACTCTCGGGTCTCACTGCTGGGTCTCCAGAGGGCCCTCCAATTCCGTGGCCCCCCAGTTGAGCGCCCTCCCAACCTCCAGGTGGCTGCGCCAAGGCGCCGGAGGAGGCGCCGGAGGACGCCGCCCGGGCGGCAGAGGAGCCGCAGCTGCTGCACGGTGCCGGCATCTGTAAGTGGTTCAACGTGCGCATGGGGTTCGGCTTCCTGTCCATGACCGCCCGCGCCGGGGTCGCGCTTGACCCCCCGGTGGATGTCTTTGTGCACCAGGTGAGACCGATTCTGGGAACTTTGCCGAGGGAAGGGGATGTTGGCGCGCATATTCAAGGTTGGGCGGACCGACTCGGCTGTTGGATTGAGGGAGATCGCGGGCCCTCATTGTGCGTTCCCATCTGGGCCATGGCACCCCGTTTCTGAGTCCCCATTGACTCCGACCGGACGGGGTGGGGTGCAGTCTATCATCAGCACCCCCAACCCTTCCCGGAACCCCTCTGGCTTACCACGTGTCTGTTACCTCTTTCCCCTGGGAAGAGGGCAGGGGGCAGGGAGGTGACCCCATGTGGCAGAAACTAAGGTTGTATTGTGCTTGCCGGTGGGGGGAGGGCGAGCAGGCTGGCCAGGGAAGCACATGCCCGTTCAGAGCAGGGCCCTGAGCGCCCAGCGTCTTTCACTAACGTGTGAATGCATCTCCCTGGCGGGAGAGAAGCAGGCAAACCTCTCTGGGATCAGACAGGGGTAAAACCAAGAAGTCAGCCGGATCTCCACCCAGGTGGTCACCCAAAACTCAAGCCCTGGGGCCTGAGTGGGTTTGGCAGATCCTTGAAGAACCTGGGACTTGAAACTCTTCCAGAATACTCATCTTAGGCACATAGTTAACCCACTGGGCTGTTGCCCTGGAATTCTCCCCAGAAGGAAAACCTAGGGAGCCCAGGCCTTGAAGATCCCTAGTCCAGGCTGGGAGGGAGTTAGGTCACAACCCCAAGTTCTCAGTTAAAGCAAGGCAGCCTGGTGGGGGTGAAATTCAGTGTCGCAGGCCAGGGGGTGGAGGGAGGCTAGCCTCTGGACCTATTCTCTGCTTGGCATTTATGGCCCTAGACAGCCATTGATTGCTGTCCTAACATTCCAGCCTCGAACAAGAAGCGGGAGACTTAAGGTTTCCCTCCTCCCTGGCTTCCTCTTCCTCTCACCCCCTCCTGAATATCTTTAGAAGTGTTCCGGTGGTCTTGGGACACCAGCCACCCATAACAAGCATGTAAAGGAAGTTGCTGCTTGTGTCCCTTCCACCTTTGGAGGTTTGGTTTTAGACCCGGGAAGGAGAAATTGATAATCTCAGGTCCAGTAGGTTGACACCCAGGCCGGGCAGGGAGGGGTTACTTTGGAGAGGTTGGCTTTAGGAGCCATGGGGGAGGGGAAAGGAGGATGTGGGGATTAAGGGTTGGAGCCTGAGGGATGGTATTCTGGAGGGGGAGGGGTGGAGAAGGGAGATCCTGGGTGGACTGGTGGGAGGCTGAAGGAGAGTCTCCGTAGCTTGGCCTCCAGTGAGGACACAGTGGGGCGAAACCAGGGAGATAGGAGATCCGGAAGTCAGTTCCTGTTGGGTATTGGGGGTCGCTGGGCTACTCGAACATCCCCTGGGAGGGTGTGCATTAGGATGCTTAGCTACCTCCTGGCTGTGTCCTGCATGTCCTCCCACCCTTAACCACCCCCCCTCTCCACGATCAGGCAACTAGTTCTGGCTCTGTCCCCCCTCCCACTGTCTCATTTACATATGTGAATGATAACCCACAGGAAGTAATTGTGGGAGAATGAAGGGAATTGGCCTCTTTAGATCTATTAAATCACTTTATTACAGGAACCAGCTTTGAATGGCCCTCCTCAGCGGGGTAGCCAGCTCTCCCACTCTCCCATTTATCTGATCACAAAGAGATTAAAATCTCTTGGTCTGGAGACAGACTGGACAGCTTCCCCAACTTTGGGAGGCTTGGAATAAAAGAAACCCAACATTTCCTTGCCTCCTTTCCAAAGGCTGCTCAGTAGGGCTGGGAGGAACGTAGCCTCTCATTCATCTAGTGTTCCTTGGTGCTATCCAAATCCCAAGGAAGGTTTTCCTGAACAAATGGACTGTCCCTCAGTCCACTTAACATTAGCGTCAAAAGCTATTGGAAAATAATTGGATGGTATGGAGGAAAGTAGGGACTTTAAGGTTTGGGGAGTGGAGCCTGTACCATGCTCCTTCATATAGGTTATTTGGGAGATCATCTGGACTTCAGGGTCTTGGAATGTCCAGGGACATTCCACAGTTGAATAAGTTATCAAGAGGAGTTGAGCTGGAGGAAGGAATCAAGAATTTGTCTCCCAAACACCCTATACCAATAGTCATAGAGGACATTGATTGGAAATTCCCTGAGCCTTACCTGGTATGATAGCATGCTGCTGGGACTTGGGTTGATTCTCAAACCCTACGTAGCAGTACACTGGTGATTACTCTCTCAAGTCCCTGCACTTGAGAAATTTGAAATATCTTGGGGATCTAATGTAGAGGAATGAAGGAGATGCAGGATGATCCTAAAAGTTGTTCTAGGGAAGGAAAGTGTTCCCAAAGTCTATGTGGGAGTAAGGCAGCTCTCTTTAAGAAGAAAACTTCCCTTTCTTTGGCTGCTGGTGGGTACCCTAGAGCCTGAGGTGGTGAGAAGGATGATTGTCCTGATGAAACTCTGCCAGGGGAGAGGTTCAGGAAGCCCCTTTCTAAGAAAAGAGGAAAAGGAGGGGAAACAACGTTTTCTTTTCCTTTCCAAGGTTGGGCTTATTTGGTTCACAACATTCTATTCACTACTGTTCTTGTGCTCCCTCTCAAAACCCTGTCCTCCAGGAGTTGAATAGGAAAGAAAACCTACCCTTAACCCTTAAAAAAAAAAAAAAATCAGGGCAAAGATAACTCTCTGCTTGTCCCTGGGGTTAGGAGAGTTTAAGAATACCAATGGCAGATGCCCAGCCCTTAAGTCAAAGTTTCTCAACCTCAACACGTGTGATATTTTGAGAAGGATAACTCTTTGTTCAGGGCATTCCTGGGTTGTGCCAAAACCTCCCTGGGAGGTAGAACCCCCCATAATTGAGAACATTATACAGGGAAATCAGGAGCAAGAAAGCCCTAAACTGTTTTCCCAAGATTCAGCAAGAATTTTGAAATCTTCACAGCCATTTTAAGAGTTTTGCTTAACTCCTGTTTCTTGTGGCTCCCAAAACCCTAAGATTTGTACAAATTTGAGAACAAGAAAAGTCTCCCTGCTTCATCTACAGCGGCTCAGAACCCAAATATGTTTAAGGTGGCTTTCTAGGTAAAGGGCTGTATTGGAAGGCCTGGAGGCCCAAGTCTCAGGGACCAAGTTTGGCTTAGGAGAAAAAAACTTCAATACCGAGAAACTGTTACCAGCTGAAGCCACGTGGCTTGCTTTTTCTGCAAAGGGTGAGTGGGAGAGCAACCTCAGGCAGGGTCTGGATTAGGATTTCGGGTAGGGTGGGGAAGAGAAGGAGAATGTAATGAGATCTTTCCCACATGGTTTATAACCTTACTGGTGCCTCTGATTACTTGTCTCATGTCAAGTTAGTGATGTGCTTGTCTTATCGCCTCTAATTTAGAAGCTCTTCTGAAGAGCAGGATTGGCTGTCTGGTTAGTTTCTTCCCTTGTCTGTATTTGGGCTGAAGGAATGAGGATGAAGTAAGGAGCTCCTGAGTCATTAACAGTTTTGGGGCCTTGTCAGTCAGTAGAGGTCCTCCCCTAGAGAAAAAGACTGAAGATAAGGGAGAGAGCATTAGCTGATCACTGTTCTTTCCATACTGCTGTCTAAAATAGGGCTGGGCTCTTAGATGCCCCGTGAAAGTTTGTGGTGTAAATGTCACAGTGTTGAGACCCAGATAGGATCCTCTAGTTTTTGCTTATGGGCTGGAAGCAAGCCACAGGTTTGGTGGTCATTCATTAGTTTTTCATTTTAACAGGACAAATCAGATTTTAAAAAAGTAAGTGAACCACCCTGATTTTCAGAAAGTTGGTAGAGGTTAGTTTGAGCATTATGGGATCTTCTTGGGTCTTTTTCTGAAGAGACATGCTTTCTAGACAGTACCCCAAGTGTGATGGTTGTACCGCTATCCTGAGTGAGCTTTCAATATGAGAAACTTGTCATCTCTCAGCTGGTGACACTACTGCCTGGCTGGTAAGTGGTTTTTAGTGACTTTCCCGAGGGCAAGGTTGTGTCTTGAACATTCCTGATCAAACAATTCTATTAGAAGTGCCTGTTGGGTGTGGGGGAGACTGCTCTAGGCAAAGCCTCCACCCGTCCCTTCTTCCTGCAGGCATGAGTAACAATTACTATCTATGTTAAGTTTGGAGTCAGGCAGTGTGGGGAAGGAGGAGGAGAAAGTTTTCAGGAATAGTACATAATTTGTACAGAGTAATTTTTCTTTCTTTTTTTTTTTTTTGTACAGAGTAATTTCAAATTACTCTCAGCTTGGAGTTATTTAATTCAGATAGGAACTCACAGTCTAGGAAGAGTAAATGGTTTTTGTAAAGGGTAAAGAGCACAAGAACAACTAACTGGGTTTCTGGCTTAAAACTGCAGGACGCTTTCTTCTATGCCCTTTGGGTGAGGACCCTTTCTTCTCTGCCCTTTAGGTGGGTAGGGGCCTAGTGAGAAGTCAGCTCCCTAACCTTGAAAGTTTGGTCCCCTTGAAACTCTTTCCTGAAGACTGAAGATCCTTGCCCTGGGGAGGTGGGGAGATTAAAGCTCTGATTCTCAGTTAAGAATCAGGCAGCTCCTTTGGTCTCTCCAGCCACCTTTAAGCAGACAGACTGATGAGCAGCACCATCTGGTGGAGAACTCCAGGCAGGAGCTGGTGGTCCTGGCTGTGTCTGAGCAGAAGTGGTATGTGAGGTGCTGGCAGCCTCTGGTTCTGGACTGATCTCTTTCCTCAACCCTACCTGACACATCCTCAAATAAACTGCTTCTGGTAGAACCGGTTGGTTTCCTTAGCCCCTACCAAACCCTACCTTCAGGAATGAAGCTCAGGTAGGCCCATGATGACACCTCAGGACTGAATCATTTCTTTTATCTGCTTCCTTTACTTATATATAGCTATTAGAAAGTTTTAAAATGTGTATATGTGATTTGCGTTACATCGCATAGCACAGGGCTGTAGGGTCAGGCTAGTTGCAGGGAGAGTGGCTCTACCTCTCACTGAATTTGGACGAGGTGCTTCATTTGTCTGCTTCTGTGAC